TAGTATAATGATAGGCTATCAAGAAGAATGTTATACTTGACTTGGGGTAAGTATTACTTTTATTTTTCTTATACATGGACAATTTTAAAAATAATTTTAAAAGACCAAATATGTATTGTATTAGACTGAAATAAAAGCTAAACAGTAAAAACATCTCAATAAATATTTTTTATTTCAAAAATAATAAGACATACTATTAACATATAAGGCATCAACGCCATGACACAAAAGCCCATCATCCTCTAGGGCCACCCTTTATAATATCAAAAAATACATGACTAACACAATTACTTTGAGTTGGCAAGAAAAGTAGAATAAAAAGCCAGGAAAGAATTGCAGAGAAATACACAGCAGGGGAAGGATATATTTTTGCCTTTTCACTCAGGTTTGTTTACAGTATGTGGTAGGAAGCAATCACACAACAAGGCCAAGTAACACTGGTTGTTTCTGAACCATAGGGAAGTCACTAAACGTTAGAGCCAAAAACAGTGCTATTCACATCTCTAGGTAAGTAAACAGTAGTTCAAGAAAAAAATTATAAATATTCTGCATATTTATGAGCTAGTAATTGAAAGGTTAAAAATAAATCAAAAAGCATTTGTGGAACTCTGAACAAACAAAACAGGTTTTATGGACTTTGCAGCATTTCATTTTGAGGTTGATTCCAAATTCTTTATGAGTTACCCATGAAAGACTTCTTGTTCACAAAATCAACATTAAGGCATGCCAGATTCCAGTAAGATTAGTCTAACAATAGCCTAGGAATATTAAAATTTTGTACCTATAAAATAGACTCTAACATATATACAGGCTTCTACACAGCAACCTGCATACTTAACTAAGCAAAGCCATGATTATGCTCTTGAGTGATGGATTTCTGAAAGCGACTCTGTGTGTTTGCACTAACACCTTCCCTTTGACAACACTGATGTCAGTCAGGCAAATTAATCCTAAAGTAGTACGCTCATAAAAACTAAAGGAGAGATTTTATAGAATATTGCAAGGACCATAAAATGATACGGATGAAAATAGCCTGAAAGTCAACCCTGTTAATTAACTGTCTTACAAATTCCTGTGTGCTCAGAAAAGACCATTCAGACTCCTTTTTAATATCCTCATCATGACAATAGTTTATGCCCCATTTTAGAAAAGATAAAGCCATTCCCGAAAACTGAAAGGATGTGTCTTATTCTTTAGTGCACTTAGATCTAGGGGATGGTGTTATATCTTGCTGCAACAGGGGAACCATTGACAAGCATTGTGAATCTCTTTTGTAGCTCACATTTTTGTGGTAGCTTGAGTTGCTGCAGTAGAATTGGATGTTCAGATTGAAAGATCTTTTAACAGATACATAGATGTTTTCTCTTTTGCTCTGACCATTAATCCAGAGAGACAAAGAACAGAATTTTCGTTATGCAATTGTTTAGAATGTGTTGTTATTGTAAAAAAATACTTAAAAGAAAACAAACGTGTTTAGATCTTTAATTCTAAATATTCAATTATTTTGGTACACTTTCATGTATTTGCCTTCCCTCTAGAAATAAAGGAACGGATGACACAAAAATTTTGGTATGCCAGGTTGTTTGTTTTTATTTGTGCCTTGAAAGACATGTGCTAGTCTGGGTCAAATTGAGCCTCAAACAGATTGTTGAAAAGGGAGATGATGGGCTCAGATATTTTAGGCTTTCAATATCAAGTTAAGTATCCCAGCATTACAGAACCAAGGGACCCACCAGTTGTGTGGGTGAAAACAGCCATCCCAGAGAGAGCTTGATGGCTCCCAGCAGCCTTCTAGTCTTCTTAACCACTGATCAGATACCTAGTGAGAAGCTGAGAGAGAAGTCAGCTTCACTTGAAGGGCCAGCATGCCATATTTCATGGTCACCTCAGGAGCTCCAAATGGCTGGAAAGGAAACAACATTGCAAAGAGAGCTACACAAACAATACAGCCCCCAGAGCGGACGGTTTACTAGAAGAAGTATTACACTGACACTTAATCGCATGATTATTGCACAGGTAACAACTGGCACCGTGTGGAAGAGATTTCCACAAAGTCTAAGAACCATCCAGAATCAATAGCATAGCCTCAGTTCATTCAATGTCTGGTGTCTCAGGACGTCAGGGCAAAGCAATTCTAGTACCCAAACCGCACCGTATTACATTGAAATCAGCAGTGCGGAAAGTTCAGAATTTTTCTTTGTCTGTATTACCTTTATCTTTATTGTTATTTTCTTTCATTGCTGAGGGGTCAACTCAGGGTCTCACACATGCTGGGCAAGCTCTGTACCCCTGAGCGATGTCCATAGCCCCTAGCTTCATTTTATATTTAAGAAATCATCATAAAGACAGGCACCATTCTGGGTGGGGCAATACAAATAGGACACCTGGGAGAGAGCAAATTAAGGTAAATATTGTAAGTACATCAGCACAGCCCAAAGAAGCATCCTGGTGATATTCTCCATCGGTCCCTTTGGGTGTGATGGCCTTCCCTCATCAGCAGAACCTCATGTCATGCTCTGTGTTGGAGCGGTTTTAGATAATGTGGAAATGACCATCTGCTGCTTGCTTTCCACTTAAAAATCTTCTTTCCTGAGATGGCATTTGAAAAAGTGCTGCCTTCAGAGTGTAACTATACAATTTAGCAGCATTGTGAGTTCATTAACTTTGCTTGTATTGAAGAACTCGGACTTTTTTCTTTGTCAGTTTTACAGGATTGAAAAGACAGTCTTCGTGTTCAATTTCAAGCTCATCAAGAACTGAAAATTGGACCACAAATGAGTTCTGTTTAATTTGCTATGAAACTAATTAATTGTGGTTTACAAATAGAAAAAAAAAACCCAAAATCCAGAGATCTCATATAAACAAACAGGAATAGTTTATTGTGTTTTTTGAGATAGTCTTACTCTATATTTCAGGCTGTCTGGGAACCCACTATGTAGCCCAAGTTTGTCTTTTCCTTGCACTGATCTTGCTTCGGCCTCTCAAGTGTTAGAATCAAGGCATGGCTCACCAGGCCTGGCTTTAAATGGGCTTCAGTTTTATTTTACAAGCTCTGTTGTTGCACTTTGAACCCAGCTCATATCTACTCACTCATGGAAGTAGATGTTTCCCTTCTTACTTCAACATCTCCAAAGTTATTCCTGAAGCAGACTAGGAAGCAGA